TGCCGCTTAACCCTGACTAACTAACTCTTTTCTTCTCTCGTTCGCCCAAAGCCCTCGGCGTCGGCGACGCAACTCTCCGCTCAAAACTCTCCGCGCAAGGTTGCGCCGCCGATCGCCGATAAATCATCAGCGCTTTGGGCGGTCTTTTCAAATGCAGATTTAAATGCAATAATACTACTAATACTACTATCAATACTAATACTAATACTAATACTACTTAATTCACTAGCTTAATCTCTAATTACTACGTAAGCAACTTATTCCATAACCAAAATTCCAATTTAATATTTCATTGTGAGGCGGTGATCGGCGAGCCGCCTCACAGTACATTGAAAAGCCTTTAGATCTTTTGCACAACGTTTTGAGGACAGATGGGGCTGAATTTCAGTTTCACGGCTCATTTGGAAACATCTTCCTGCATTAGTGCCAAAAAAAAAAAGAAAAATGCAGTGAAGCCTCTTATCTGATTTGGAGGTGGAAAGTAATGTCTTGCCATACAATGGTGTTGGAGATTTGGTGCCAATAGAAGGCACTCTAAATCAATCAGGATATCTGCCAATATTAAATCACCATGATTTTACATAGGGAACAGACTATTTCTAGTTATTGACTGGCTACTGCAGCAAAATAATGCTCCTTGCCATAAAGGATCAATACCCACAAAGCTTTTGAGAGACTTAAGCTAAGCCATTCTGCCCTGGTTTTCGCAAAGTCCGGGCCTTATCAAATGAAAATGTTTGGGTAATGATGAAATCTAACAGATTATTCAACAAGGACCGAAACTGGACGATATCATCAAGGAAATTACCGAAATTCGGTCGAAATTAACAATTGACTTTGCACGATCCTTGGTGGCATCAATTCCAGCAAGGCATCGGGCTGTAATTGAAGTAAAAGCAGGAATAACTAAACACAAACTTAGATAAATAAGCCCTTAGTTATATAAAACAAAAATCCAAAAGAAATAACATTAAACAATAGCAATAAACATTGTTTAAGTTTTGTGTAAATACTAAAGACGCAAAAAAAATGTGTGTAAATACTTTTGACAAACTCTAAGTAATTGTTCTTTTCGCTCTATTTATTAGCATGTACCGTTATTTTAGCAATTTCTTCAGCCGATCGCTTCTACATAGAATGAGCTTTATGTCACAAAAGCTTTTTTCAAAAACGGTGTACAACAACAACAACAAAAAGCTCTTTAAGCAGAGCATGTAGAAAAATGTTCGTTGTGTAAATACTTTTGACCACCTCTGTATAAGTCAATCGATTGATAAGCCATTGGTTTTTGTTTATAAATACCAAAGTGTTGACTATAGCTGACTTTAAACTAGACCTTCGGTCCGAAGCAATCGATCCTGTTTTTCCAAATGTTCTTTCCGATTCGGCAGAACTTGCTGGTATACATAAATATTATTTTAACATTCATAAGGGCTTACAATTATATCCCTGTAAAATACTTACGCGAATACTGCAAGAACTTTTTCATTGATATTGTGTATTATGTACCTAACTCACAACAACTTCGATAGATCGAAATCGAAAAATTTCCATCGATCTATCGCATTTCACGAGTCCCATCGATAATATCGATGGAGCCCTCGATTTCCCAGCTCTATCGCAGACCCCATAAATTATATATATTCTTGATCAGCACGACGAGCTGTCCGTCTGTCCTTCCGTCCGTCCGTATGAGCAAAAGGATCTCAGAAGATTTAAGAGCTAAAGAGCTGAAATTTGGCATGCATACTCGTGTATACCATAGGCAGTACAAGTTTATATTATTCTTTCGATAACTCATGTGATAACTTTTTTATCGAGAATAATTGATAAGTCGGCTGAAAAACAAATCAGCCAAATTTGAACACTTTTAGACCTGAAGACTTTAAATTTGCGTTGTATATAAAGTTAATGGATACCAAGATTTTGTAATATACTGATTTTTGATACCATGCCCCTTCACCTACAATTTGTAAAAGTACAATTTCAAGTACTAGAGACTTGATGTTAAGATTTCGGTATACCCTTCGCTCAAAAGGAAAGAAGTGGGATCGTCGCAAACAATTTTCCATTTTTGTGCGCTGTTGCTATTTGAGAGACGATAGAGAGAGAGCATAAAGAGAGGGAGACAGTGAGTGAGGGAAAAAGAGCGCATAACTGCACTTCATTTAGAAAAGTGTGCATTTCGTGGCAACGGTCGCAACGCACTGATTTTGTCGTGCCTTAATTTCACTGCATGAGCCTTAAAAGACCGAGCCGAGCAAATACGAAGTTTTCTGGTCTCTTCAGCGCATTTTTTCGGTGTTGAAAAAGTTTGTTCTAGATGTCTAGTCCATGTGTTCTCTGGTTAGTGCCGTAACTTAACTATCCAAATTTGAAGCTTTTAGCTCTTAAACTGTAGAAGATATAAACCTTTGCGGTTTGCGCCCCCTATGGGCGGACATATATCTATCATAGCTCGTTGGACTTGGGCGGTCAACCCGCGTATATATACGAAATTTCAGGTTCATAGCGTTAAAAGTGCCTAAACTATATCGCAGAGTTCGAAAAATCACTATATCTTCAAGTCCGATTTGCCACGTCCCTAATAGGCGTATATAGACATTTTTCCAGCCATCTTTATAGAATCGAAACATCAGCTCACGGTTTCAGCATTCTAGATTTACAACTCCTACAGTTTTATTCGATTTGCCACACCCCCAATGGGCGGAGATATATTCTATATTCATAGCTCATGATCTTGGGTGGTCGACGCGGACCTACATACCATCATACATCAACTAATGAGAAAATGCATGTTCCGATTTGCCACGCCACTAGTGGACGGATCGGGAAAATTTTAACACTTCATAAATCGGAGATATACACGAGTATGTGCTCCAAATTTTAAGTCTCTACTTTCAATAGCGCCGAAATAGACTGCGTTCATACGGAGAGACGGACGGATAGCAAGACGGACATTGCAAAAAAACAATATTCTCATTTCACTTTCGTGAATGAGCATACAACGCCTAAAAGAAAAGAAGCACAGAAAAGAACTAGATTCATTTAGGTATTGCGAGCTATTTTTTGGTTCGGGCTGGTCTCCAAGGCTGGTGAAATCACAATGAATCACTAGAGTCAAAAATTATGGTTTACAGGATTATGACCACATCTGGAGCTGGTACCCTGAACTTTATAGATAGCAAGTTGGAAAAGCATCACTATCTATCTTATGTTGCCACAATCTGCAGATCTCAATCCAATTAACCAGATTTGATTAGCCCTTTTGGCAGATGTATGTTCCAAGTGGGTCAAAATCGCTGAGACTTAAACCAATCCATTGGTACTTCGCCGACTGATTGTAGTAATTGCTTCAAAAGTTGGTCCTACTAAATTTGAGTTCATAATTATAGTTAATTTTCATTAGTGAACTAAACTTTTGTCATGCTTTTCTTGTTTTTTTTTTTTTCTTTACATGCATTTTAGCCTACTCACTTGATTTTTATGGAAAACAATTATGAATGATTTTTATGTTGCTAAATATCCAATAAAACTAAACTTTTTATACCCTGAACCCATTTCCAGACCCCATAAAGTATATATATTCTTGATCATGGCGACGAGCTGAGAAGATTCAGACCTATTTGTCTGACCGTGTATTTGAACGCATCGGTCTCAGAAGATATAAGAGCTAGAAACTTGAATTTTTTCCTAGGTCCGTGTATATCACGAGCATATAGGTTTTCTCAAAAAATCGATAACCTGTACCATTATTTTATTATCAATTAAAAACCTTATCAAAAACAAGTAAGAAAGCTCTAGTCGAGACTGCCCGACTACGAGACCCCCTTAACCCTTCGAGCAATAGTTATTTCAATTATTTTCCGCGTCTTTCCGCACACACGCACACACACGCACGCATACACATTCACACACACATACACACTCACACACACATACACACACACTCACAGGCACGGATAGCCTGCAGTGTGCGCTTACTATGAGAACTTAATTGCTTAATAACTTTTTTGTGGACATACGATCTTGATGCAATTTTCAGACTTTCAGACATAACTATAACAATAATATGCGTGCACTTGCCTAAGCACAAGTCTCTAGTATTTGAAATACTCGATGGTGAGCGGGTGGATATAGGGGTGGGGGGTAAATTTTAACAAAAACCGAAATTGTATAAAATACATTTAAGTCCCCAATTGAAATTTGGAAACTCTATCTACAAAGGTGTAGGAGATATAATTAAATAACTGGCTTTCGATAAGGTTTTTAATCGATAATAAAATATCTTTCGATAAGGGTTTTAATCGATAATAAAATATCTTTCGATAAGGTTTTTAATCGATAATAAAATATCTGGGGTAGGTTTCGATATTTAGAGAAAAGCTCGACATGCGCGTGATATACACGGCCCTAGGAAAAAAAATTTCAAGTCTAGGTCTTATATCTTCTGAAATCGACGCGTTCAAACATACGGACAGACGGATTTCCCATTTTCAATGGGTTCAGGGTATAATTAGGTTTCTCCTATACCTTTATAGTTAGAGTCGCCAAATGTTAAATTAAGATTCATATGTATTTTACAGAATTTTGATTAATGTTCTAACGCACCCACACCTCTATATCCACTCCCTCGCCCCTTAATTTGTAAAATGCATATTTTAATTACTAGAGACTTGTGTTATGGCAACTGCACTCATTTCAATGTTATAAGCACGATCTGAGTTTCATGATAATAGTCCACTTACAATCAAAGTTATTAAACAAGTAGTACACTACAGTCAGTGCGTGTTTGTGTCTGCATGCGAATGCCTGTATGTGTGCATGTGCGAACAATTATTGAAATATCAGTTGCTCGGAGAGTTCAGGGAATCTCGTAGTCGAGCAGTCTCGACTTCAGCTTTCTTACTTGCTTTCAGGATGTAAAAAAAATGCAGCACCCATTAAAATTTATTCGAAGCTCACAAGGTAAATTTTTAATTATATCTTCTTTACCGCAGGCTGAAGCTCGACTAGCAGCTCGACGTCTGGCTCGCGCTGAAGCTCGGGATATACGTATGCGTGAATTAGAGCGGCAACAAAAAGAGTTAGAGCAAAATGCTGATCGTGCATTTGATATGCAATGTACGAGTGGGAACGTCATTACGGACCCACTCTCAGCACATTCTGTACGCCACGCATATAGCGGTTTTATTAACTTAGCGCGTGCAACTACGTCACGACGTAGTAGTGAAGATTCATTAGAGGATGAGAGTCGCAGCTTGCGTGATATTAAACACGAACTTAAAGTAAGTATATTCATATCATATCATCATACAATTACCTGATAATCGTAAAGCGAATTCGCCAATGAAAAGGTCATTATTGTCAATCCTCTGACAGATTACTTGATCTAGATTATTGTGTGGTATTCGCACCTACATTTGACTGGCAGCTTGTTGCTGTTTAGCGACATCGTCTAAGGCTTCTGTTCAACTGTAACGAAATTGGATACGGCTGCATTTATGACTTTTTGTTATACCCTGAACCCATTGAAAAGAGGATAATGGTTTTGTTAAATGTATGTAATAGGCAGAAGGAGGGTCTGCCACGCCTCCTTAAAATATATACAGTTTGGCATGAAAATGTTTACACACAGGGAAAAAATTTTAATTTTTTATTTTGAAGCGAAATAAAAGCAGTAAGAATATGCATATTCAATTTTTATACGCTGAACCCATTGAAAATGGGAAATCAGGGTATAATGGTTTTGTTAAAAGTATGTAACAGGCAGAATGAGGGGTGGCAGACCCCACAAAGTATATATATTCTTGATCAGGGCGACAAGCGGAGTCGATTTGGCCCTGTCCGTCTGTCTGTCCGTCCGTCCGTCCGTATGTATGAACGCGTCGATCTCAGAAGATATAAAAGCTAGAGACTTGAAAATTTTTTCCTAGGTCCGTGTATATCACGCGCATATCAAGTTTTTCTTTATATATCGATAACTACTCCCGATATTTTATTATCGATTAAAAACCATATCGAAAGCTAGTTATTTAATTATATCTCCTACACCTTTAGACCTAAAACTTCCAAATTTTAAATGTAGACTTATATGTATTTTATATAATTTCGATTTTTATCAAAATTTACCTTCCACCCCTATATCCACCCCCTCACCCTCACCTTTGTAAAAGGCGTATTTCAAGTACTAGAGACGTGTGCTTTGGAATGTACATACATTCTCATCATATGATTACGCTCTTAAAGTTTCATTAAGATTGTATGTCTAGAAATTAAATTATTCAACAAATAAATTCTTATACTGTTACCCACACTACAGCGCAGCCAAAGCGCAGTTAGCAGAGCGCGTTCTAATACGTGCGTGTGTATGTATGTGTGTCGAAAAGAAGTGCAGACTGATTAGAATACCAGATTAGAGGGTTCAGGGTATCTCCTAGTCGAGCAGTCTCGACTAGAGTCTTCTTACTTGTTTTTTTATACTCATTCACAAAAGTGAATCAGTATATTGGTTTTGTGCAATGTCCGTCTTGCTGTCCGTTCGTCTGTCCGTCTGTCCGTCCGTCCGTCTGTCCGTCTGTCCGTATGAACGCAATCTATTTCGGCGCTATTGAAGCTAGAGACTTGAAATTTGGAACACATACTCGTGTATATCTCCGATTTATAAAGTGTTAAAATTTTCCCGATCCGCCCACTAGGGGCGTGGCAAATCGGAAAATGCATTTTCCGATATACCAGAAATCATGTTAGTTAAAGAGCTAGAAAGCTGAAATTTGGTATGTAGGTACGCGTTGACCACCGAAGATCACGAGCTATGGCGGATATATCTACGCCCATTGGGGGCGTGGCAAATCGGATAAAACTGTATCTCCTAAAGTTGTAAACCTAGAATGCTGAAATTTTGCACGTCATATAATGGTATAATTCTATAAAGTCTGAATATAAATTATAAGTCTACGCCCATTGGGTTTTAGTTATAGTTTTAGGCGTCCTAAGGAGGCGTAAAAACTATTTTGGGGCATATCGAAAAATACGCTGTAATTTTCACATTTTTAAGGGTAAGCATTCAAACTTTGCAGTTAGGGTACCGTTATCTCTTTCTAAAAACTGACCTAAAATGAGGTGTCTACGCCCAGTTGGGGCGTGGCAACTCGGAAAACCCTGTATATTCTACAGTATTAGAGCGAAACTTAACTACTAAATTGTTGATGGGATGTGAATGAGTATTCCGCAGTCGGTAACGCCCGACTGCAACGTTCTTACTTGTTTTAAATTATTTATTACCTTTTTGTGTTTTTTTTTTCTCCAGGAAGTCGAGGAACGTTTTCGAAAAGCTATGATAACGAATGCCCAACTTGACAACGATCGTTCATCGCAGACTTATGAGGTTAAACTACTTAAAGATAAAATTGAAGCATTGCAAGAATCTCTTGCTCAATTGCAACGTGAATTTAAAAACAAACTTCGCGATTGCAGTGCCCTTAAGCGCAGCTTAGATCGCACAACCCTAGAATTAAACCTGGTCCAAGGTCAGCTAAGTGAGCGTGATACACTAATAGAAGAACACGGTCTTGTTATTGTTGCTATTGAAAATAGTGATGGCAGCGATGCGAAGCGTGCTCTAGTCACCGTTGAAAACGCCAATGTATTGGCATCTGTGCAAGGCTCTCTTGGTAAGTATAGCTGATTAAAAGTTACAATATACGACAAAATATATATTTTCAGACGTTCGAATTAAAAAGTTTACTGATGAAAAGCTGCGACTTATTAACGAAATGCAAAAGCTCCGTGAACAGCTGGACGCCCTTAAAAGTGAAGGAAGACCAGTTCGAGGCAGTCTAATAAGTGACTCTTTAGGGTTAGATGATGACTATGATGCTCAGAGTAAGTTGAGAAAAAGAAAAAAAGAAAAAATTATAAAGACTTTTTTCATACAGGAGAATCAAATAAAATCATATCCGACTATAAATATAAGCTACAGAAAGCTGAACAGGAAATTGCCAGTCTGCAGGCAAACCTAGCGCGCTCAGAGACTCAAGTTATACGTTACAAAAGTACGGCTGAAGCTGCCGAAAAATCTGAGGCTGAACTTAAAATAGAAAGACGTAAACTGCAACGTGAGGTACGAAAAAATACGTTAACTATCAAGTATTACAGAGAAAAGCGTACAATTAAGTATCGTTGGTCTAAGTTTTTATACTTCTAATCCATCCTAATCCATATATACATATATATAAATATGGTGGGGTCCCTTGGAGCAACAACAAAATTTGATTCGTCTAAAATAAGTTTTTTTATTACAATAAAAAGATAATTACACATAGTTACTAACCTAAAATAAGAGAATCAACAATTAAATGTTCATGCTCCCATTCTTCATTCTTAATCGAATTAACAATGCTCATATTGAGATGTGTGGCACCGAGACCAAAATTAAATTGTATGAATTTGTGAGTGCGATCGTATATGACTTAGACGCACAATATTGTATTGAGCGATAAAGAATACATAAGTCTTGAGCCCGAGTGCTTCGATGAGTATATGATTTGCGTCGCAGTTTGCAGAGAAAACAAGTAAGAAGACTCTAGTCGAGACTGCTCGACTAGGAGATACCCTGAACCCTCTAATTTGATATACTAATCACTCTGCACTTCTTTTCGGCATACATACATACACACGCACGTATTAGAACGCGCTCTGCAAACTCCGCAGTAAGCAGCGACTGCGCTTGGGCTGCGCTGCAGTGTGGGGAGCATTATAAGAATTTATTTGTTGAATAATTTAATTTCTAGATGTACAATCTTAACGAAACTTTCAGAGCGTAATCATATGGTGAAAATGTATGTACATTTCAAAGCACACGTCTCTAGTACTTGAAATACGCCTTGTACAAAGGTGAGGGTGAGGGGGTTGATATAGTGGTGGGGGGTAAATTACAACAAAAATCGAAATTATATAAAATATATATAAGTCTACATTTGAAATTTGCAAGCTCTAGCTCTAAAAGTGTAGGAGATATAATTAAATAACTTGCTTTCGATAAGGTTTTTAATCGATAATAAATTATCGGGAGTAGTTATCGATATAAAAAGAAAAACTTGATATGCGCGTGATACACACGGACCTAGGAAAAAAATTTCAAGTCTCTAACTCTTATATCTTCTGAGATCGACGCGTTCATACATACGGACGGACGGACGGACGGACGGACGGACGGACGGACAGACAGACGGACAGGGCCAAATCGACTCAGCTCGTCGCCCTGATCAAGAATATATATACTTTGTGGGGTCTGCCACGCCTCCTTCTGCCTGTTACATACTTTTAACAAAACCATTATACCCTGATTTCCCATTTTCAATGGGTTCAGGGTATAAAAAAAAAAAAGAAGAAAAACACGAAGGGCAATGAAATTGTGTGTGTGCAGACCAGATAGCCGACCGACCGCAAATTTACCGTTACAATTTGGTAGCAAAAAAAATATTCTTTATGCGTAGCAACGTTTTCATACCCTCCCCACAAATAACGAGCAAACGAAAGGCAATGTAATTTTTTTTATACAATATATGTATATTTAGAATCATTATATTATTTAAGATGTCAGGATTAGTAGATGCAGAATGTCATGAAAACGCTAACATTTTACATGAGCACGGCAAACCCCTTTCAAGAACTTCATATACTCTCTAAATGAAAAGGGTATAGAGACAGAGTAAGAAAAAAAAAGAAAAGCGCACGATCAGGCTTCATATTAAAATGCGTGCTTTACGCTTAAACGCTCGCAGCGCACTAATCTAGGCGTGAGATTTTTTCACTGCTCGAGCCTCAAGCGACGGAGCCGAGCAAATACGAAGTTTTGACACGAAGTTATATGCATGGAAAAACTCGAGTGCCTTAACCCCGAAATGCTTTGGTTAACTGTTGTATTGCTCTATGCGTCTTATTTATTCCCATTCTTTTTACTAAAGGAAGGAAGTATTGCGATATTGAGTGCATGTGATCTCCCACTCTATCAACACATTGTATGCCTATCACTCACTTACTCAGTCTCAATTCGAGTGCACTCTATTTTGCTAGGTTATGAGTGCGGCCATGCAGCTCTCTAGTACACACATAAACATACACACACGCACATACATATAAAGGCACTCAAAAGCTTCTACAATGATTACCCCATCATTTGTGAGCATCGCGGCCCCTGCGTACACACAATCAAACATATGTATGTAAGTGTTCACAGTTCACAAGATCAACCAAATGCAAATACTAGGTTTTAAAATTACTGCAGCCAGCAAGAGCCTCGCACACAGGCATACAAATGCTCATAGTACATTTTCATTATGTGCACCAACGTAAATATTTTGTAGGAGCTTGGTAAACGGTTTGAAAAGTACGGAATACTCTTCACTCAGAAGGGAAGGCATGGGCTCTTGCTGCGCATGAAGCGAAATGATTCTGCGTTCGTATATTTTCGTAGCTCGAACCTAAAAGTAAAGGAGCCGAGCGAATCCAAAGCTGTCTGGGGTGCTAAAGCCTCAGAAAAAGCGTGCAAAAAGCTTTCCACTAGTTGTCTAGTCTATGTGTTCTCTGGTTAGCGATAATATTGATTTAATTTCTTATTGAACTTCACTTTGTTAACTCTCTTTTGTTTTGTTTCGACAGCTGATCTTATTCGAATGGTTATTTGCATTAATCGATATTTGGCTCAAATATGTATGTATGTAAAGCTCACAAACATATGGTCAGTGAAATAAATGCACACAAAGCTTTCATGGCCAGAATTGGTTTCAATCACAAGTATTGCTTTACTTTATCAAAGGCTATTTCACAATCAGTTGACCAAACAAACCTTATATCTTTTCTGAGCAAGTAGTGTAGAGGATCGAGCAAAATTGAGACGTTAGGAATATATTTCCCATAAAAATGCACTTTACCTAAGAACTGTCTTATGTTTGTCTTATTTTGTGGTAAAGGAAGTCTATTATAGATTTTTAATTTGCTTTTAGAGGAGTTACTAAATTCTCTGAGATAAAATGACCCAAATATATGATTGAATTTGCCGCAAAATTGCATTTTGTTAACTTTAACCGGAATCCTTCCTTTACTATAGCATCCTTCCTTTACTATAGCATCAATTGAATTAAATGTTCATCGAAAGTCTTTAAGAATATCATAACATCATCTAAGTAGTTTACAACAAAATTTTATAAGTAGTACTTTCTAATTATATTCACCAATATTCTTTGAAATGTTGCAGGAGATTTTTTTAATCCATAAGGGAAACATGTCCATTGATAATGACCTTCTGGTGTTAAAGATCCAGTCTTTTGCCTATCTTGAATTCTCAACGGCGTTGTGAAAAATTTACAATCAACTGTCTTAACCATTAAATCTTCAATTAAAGGGAATGGTTGTGATTGAGGTACTATTAGTTTATTTAAATCTCTAAAATCAATACATAGTCTGCTCTTCTTCCCTTCATTTCTTTTATAGGCCAATCTGACTGGTGCTGCAAATGAACTATAGGATTCCTCAATTAGGTTGTTTCAATAACTGCCACCTCCTTTTCAATTTTAACTTTGTCTTCACAGGAACATCTATAAGGTCTTTCGTAACAGTATTTTTATATGGGTTCACCATTGAAAATGGCAAATCAGGGTATAATGTTTTGTTGAAATGTATGTAACAGGCAGGAGGGGGCGTGTCAGACCCCATAAGGTATATATATTCTTGATCAGGGCGACAAGCTGAGTCGATTTGGTCCTGTCCGTCTGTCCGTATGTATGAACGCGTCGATTTCAAAAGATATAAGAGCTAGAGACTCAAAAATTTTTTTAAATGTCCGTATTTACAGGGTGGATATTGAGTTTATCACTAAAAATCGATAACTTATCCCGTTCTTTTTTATCCCGTTTATTTTATATCTCCTACATCTTTGGAGCTACAGTCTCCAAGTCTTGAATGTATATTTATATGCATTTAATTCAATTTCGGTTTTTGTTAAAATTTACCCCCCACCCCTAATTCACTCCCTCACCCACAAATTTGTAAAATTTTAAATTTTGTTAAAATGCTAGAGACTTGTGCTTTGGCAAATACATGCATATCTATGTTGTATTTATAATCTGTAAGTTTCATTAAGTCCACCCATAAGAAAAATTATTAAGCAATTAAGTTCTCATAGTAAGCCACCGCTGCAGCCAATGTATGTTTATGCGTGCGCGTGTGTGTGCATGTGCGAATAATTATTGAAATATCAGTTGCTCTCGACTAGAGCTTTCTTACTTGTTCTACTTGTAAATCTATAAACGCTTCGTAGTTCTTTACTTTGCCAACATCATGCCTATCATTAGCAAAAATATGTTTATAATTATTTAACAAGGAACTTATTTTATTTCTTTGATCACTATTTAAATGATTAATATTAATGTTGAAGTCATTTACATCAATGCCGTCATTGAAATTTACTTGAAGTTTGACAAAAGCATTCTTAATTTTAATTTCTTTATATACTCATTCACGAAAGTGATTTAGTATATTGGTTTTGTGCAATGTCCGTCTTGCTGTCCGTCCGTCTGTCCGTATGAACGCAGTCTATTTCGGCGCTATTGAAGCTAGAGACTTGAAATTTGGAACACATACTCGTGTATATCTCTGATTCATAAAGTGTTCAAATTCCCGATCCGCCCACTAGGGGCGTGGCAAATCGGAAACTGCATTTTCCGATATACCAGTAATCATATTAGTTGAAGAGCTAGAAAATTTTGAATGTAGATCCGTGTCGACCACCCAAGATCATGAGCTATTGCGAATATATATACGCCCATTGGGAGCGTGGCAAATCGGATAAAACGGTATCTCAAAAAGTTTTACAGCTAGAACGCTGAAATTTTGAACGTTTTTCTATTGCTCTGATTATATAGTCTCGTGAAATTATATGAAAATTGTATGTCTAAGCCAATTATGGGCGTGGCCAATTGGACCTGAAGATATAGTAATTTTTAAATTTGCTCCTCTATCGATGACCCAAAAATCATTTTTACGTCTCTTTAGAGGCGTGGCATATCGAAAAATACCCTGGAATTTTCACATGTTTGAGCGTAAGCATTAAAATTTTGTAGTTATGGTGCCGTTAGCTCGTTCTAAGGACTGACTAAAAATAAGGTATCTACGCCCAGTAGGGGCTTGTCAAATCGGGAAAAACTGAATTCTCTACAAGATTAAAGCTAAACTTAGGTAATAAATTGCTGATGGGCTATGAATGAGTATTCCGCAGTCGGTAACGCCCGACTGCAACGTTCTTACTTGTTTATTTTGACTCTTGTTATTATTATTATTAATAATTTTGGTGTCTTTCAACTTATTTTCATTATCCAAATTAGATTTTAGTTCTTTTTGTAAAAGGATGTTTAAATTTGAGTCATGGGTCAATCCAAATCTTTTTATTGTATTTAATCCGAGGATCATGTCATACTTGAAATCATTATTGCTGTATACAAACGCATTGATACTATATTCCATACCAAGTATTCTTGCATTCAATGCTATCAAACCATCAGTCTAACCACTGCCACTAATCACTTTTCCCATTTAGTACTACTTTAAATTCAAGAAGAGAAGAGAGAGAATATTTAGTTTTATGGAACTTCAGTAGTGTCAATGTTTTATACCCTGAACCCATTGAAAATGGGAAATCAGGGTATAATGGTTTTGTAAATATATGTAACAGGCAGAAGGAGGCGTGGCAGACCCCATAAGGTATATATATTCTTGATCAGGACGACGAACTGAGTCGATTTAGCCCAGTCCGTCTGTCCGTCCGTCTGTCTGTCCGTATGTTTGAGCGCGTCGATCTTAGAAGATATAAGAGCTAGAGACTTTAAATTGTTTTCCTAGGTCCGTGTATAGCACGCGCATATCGAGTTTGCTTTAAATATCGATAACTTGCCCCGTATTTTGTTATCGATTAAAAACATTGGGTGCAATTTTTTTTTTTAGTTAATTTTTAAACATTTTTTTTTTTTATTTTCCAATAGTAAACATCTTAACTAAAGTAGAAAGTATTTTAAAATTTTTTTATGAATTTTCCCTTCTATATATCGTAGGGTCGCAAGTCGCCTGACCCAGAGTTGCTCTGTAAGCAAAAAAACGCGGAAAAAATTGTGCAACTTTCAAGTTTAATGCTGCGGTAAATAAAAAGAAAACTTTATATTTTAAAACTGGAAAAGAGCTTAAACAAAAATTTTTATCGTTGAGAAAATGAATAACAATATGAACGAAAGTGTGGAAAACATTATTTCTGCTCAAGCTGATTTTATTAAAAATATTTGCCTAAAACTAGCCGGAATCTATAAAAATTCAAAATAGGTCATTCATGGGCAGAATATTCAGAAACTTAAACGAGCCGAGGACCTCGCGAAATAAAATTGTCCATAAGGAAGCTAATTATGGAGAAGCTGGCACTCAGGTGAAAATAAAATTTGCTTCTGATCTTGCAAGCCAAGAGGAACACAATATTTGCTATCTTTTCTGAGCCTTATATAAATAGTGAAAAATTTAGAGCGTTCTGCGCTCAAATATTGAAATAAACATGAATAACTATGCTTCGTATCCCAACTGTGAATATAGTTTTGATCCATGGATACCAGTTAATGGATAGCTTTTAGTATTCTTGAAGAAAACGCATCAGAAGCTCGGGACAAAACTTATACAAATTTGAAAATTTGCTCTGATTGAGCGTCCGTCAATCGCGTCTCAGTAAAGATAGGACGATATAAGCGAAACCGGAAATTCAAAAAGAAAACGAAGATAAACATGATTTAGACAATTTGAATATCGAATTAGGTGAAAAATATTAATATTATTGATGTTCATTTTCTAAATACAGTAGAATCCGGTTATAACGACTCCGTTTAAAGCGTCCAACCGGTTATGTCGACGAAAATTCGATGTCTTGGTTGGTCCCGATACAAACTTATATGAAAGAGCCTCCGCTTAGTACGTCTCCGCTTTTAACGACAATCCGCTTATGCCGACGACTTTTTCATAGTTTTGAGTCAATCACCGGTTATTACGATGTGATAAAAAAAAATCGCGAAATAATGACAACAAATTTCAGCATAAAAACACTGTTAGAAATGTATATATTGATCAGTGATCAGTACCCTTGCTTATGTGCGTAGCAACGCCACAAATGCTGCTAAGACAGAGAGAGGGAGAGAGACAAAGTACAATGCCGACGTCACAAAAATGTTTCTAAACCATGTTATTGAAAGAAGTTTATAAAAAATGGTTGTTTTGATTAAAAATTTAAATTGTTTTATAGTAAAAGTTATTACGAACATGGCAATCGTAAAAAAAATGAAAAAAAAATATTTTTTACTCTTTCTGGTTAAAGCGTCCTCCGGGTATAGCGACGTAAAATCGACGGTCCCTTGAGTGTCGCTGTAACCGGATTCTACTGTATATTATAAGCGAAAAAGAAAAAATTTTTTTTTTTTAAATATACACTTTTACATTTTTGTATTATATTATGACTTATTCTAATAATTTTGTAATTGAATATTATGTTGAATATTGAATATTAGATGCATGTAAAATTTCAACCTCCTAGCTCCTAGCTCCTAGAATTTATGCCAAAATTTCGGGCTTTTTTCCTATAGTGCACTGCAGCCAATGCGTGTTTATGCGTACGTGTATGTCTGTGTGTGCACGTGTGTGTGCGAATAATTATTGAAATATTAGTTGCTCGAAGGGTTCAGGGGATCTCGTAGTCGGGCAGTCTCGACTAGAGCAATTAAAATTAAATGGTTTTTGTTAAAATTTACCCCCCCACCCCTATATTCATCCCCTAACCATCACCTTTGTAAAAGGCGTATTTCAAATACTAGAGAGTTATGTTCTGACAAATGCATGCATATCCATGTTATATTCATAATTTAAAAGTTTCATGAAGATAGTCCATCCACATAAAAAGTTATTAAACAATTAAGTTCCCATAGTAAGCCCACACTGCAGCCAATGCGTGTTTATGCGTGCGTGTGTATGGCAGTGTTAATGATGTGTGCGAATAAATATTGAAATATCAGCTCGAAGGGTTCAGGGGATCTCGTAGTCGAGCAGTCTCGACTACAGCTTTCTTATTTGTTTTTGTTTTGCTTTATTATTTTATTTCTATAATATATTTAAAATATATATTATATCCATAAACGTAATAGTTGTTGATTTATAATATGGTGGTGCTCCTTTGGAGCTATAACAAAATTTGATTCGTCTAAAATAAGAGTTTTTAGACCCTGGACCCACTGAAAATGGGAAATCAAGGTATAACGGTTTTGTTAAATGTATGTAACAAGCAGAAGGAGGTGTGGCAGACCCCATAAAGTAAATATATTCTTGATCAGGGCGGAGAGCTGAGTCAATTTACCTCTGTCCTTCTGTCCGTCCGTCTGTCTGTCCGTATGTTTGAACCCGTCGGTCTGAGAAGATATAAGAGCTAGAGACTTTAAATTGTTTTCCTAGGTCCGTGTATACCACCCGCATATCGAGTTTTGCGTTAAATATCGATAACTTGTCCCGTTATTTTGATTAAAAACATTATCGAAAACCAGTAATAAATTTATATCTCCTACATCTTTAAACCTAGAGTCACCATATTTTTAATGTATATTTATATGTACTTTATGGAATTTCGACTTTTCTCAAAATGTACCCACCCTTAACTCACCCCCTCACCCACAAATTTGTAAAAGACGTATTTCAAATATTAGAGACTTGTGCTTTGACAAATGCATGTATAACTGTGTTGTATTCATAATCTGAAAGTTTCATGAAAAAAGTGCAACCTCAAAAAAAGTTATTGAAAAATTAATTGGAGTCAATGCATGTTTTTGCGTGCGTGCGTATGCCTGTGTGAGTGCGAATAATTATTGAAATATCAGTTGCTCGAAGGGTTCAGAGGATCTCGTAGTCGACTCGACTAGAGCGTTCTTACTTGTTATATTCTGAACCCACAATGCTAATTATAATTTGAGGTTAACCAAGTCAACCATTGTTTAATTGCGTTACTTGTGAAAGCTGACTCCCTGTCTGCCTTGAGTGTTATCGGCTTGCCCATTTGGGTAAACACTTTTAAAAGTGCACGTTTGTCTTCGAGCCAGTCAAGGCCTTTTACTTGTACTAACATCACAAATTTTGAATATATGTCAATCAATGCATGTTAGGTAAGTTTTATTCTCTGAAGTAGAGAAGTCGACCATAAATAATTCGCGGGGGTTGGATATTTCTGGTTTTAATTCAAATGGGGCGTTAGTATTTCTATATTCTGTTTTCGACAATTGGCAAACATCGCATTGATTAATAATGATTTGTATTAATTTACCAGAGTGTTTCTTTGGAGTCTTAAAAATTTTTCTGTGTCAGGGTGTATAAGCTTAATATGTTGACTTAATATTAATTCTTTAAATTAATCGTAACTCTCTATATCTTTTAAATATAATAATGCTCTTACAATGGAATCGTTTGGTCAGAGACTATCTCCATGTAAGCTTTTTGAATGATGAGAAAGTCCGGATCACTTTCAATATAGAGTGCACTGTATTTTGCAAAAAAGTGGTCCATTAATAACTGCTTTGCAGATTCGAAAGTTCCCTTTTTATAAATTATTATAATTTTTTGTTTTTTGAAATAATTTTCTACTTTAACTGAAATATTGTCCATTCTGACCATGATTACTTGTCGATAGTAGTGATTTAGATGTTTTAGGGATTAAAAATGAACTATCCTCTTCCGCACTATGTACAGTTGCACAAGTACTTCCTAACATTACATCTTCTTTTTATACCCTGAACCCATTTTCAATGGGAAATCAGGGTATAATGGTTTTGTTGAAATGTATGTAACAGGGAGAAGGAGGCGTGGCAGACCCCACAAAGTATATATATTCTTGATCAGGGTGACGAGCTGAGTTGATTTGGCCCTGTCCGTCTGTCTGTCCGTCTGTCCGTCTGTCCGTATGTATGAACGCGTCGATTTCAGAAGATATAAGAGCTAGAAACTTCAAATTTTTTTTAAAATGTCCGTAATTACAGCGCGCATATCAAGTTTATCATTAAAAATCGATAACTCATCTCGATCTTTTTTTATCGATAAAAAACCTTATCGAAACCCAGTTATAAAATTATATCTTCTACACCTTTATTGCTAGAGTCTCCAAATTTTTAATGTATGCTTATATGCAATTTATATAATTTCGGTTTTTGTTAAAATTTACCCCCCACCTCTAAATTCACCCCCTCACCCTCACTTTTGTAAAAAGCGTATTTCAAATACTAGAGACTTGTGCTTTGGCAATTACATGCATATTCATGTTATAATCATAATCTAAAAGTTTCATGAAGATCGTACGTCCATAAAAAAAGTTATTAAACAATTAAGTTTTCATAGTAAGCGCACACTGCAGCCCATGCGTGTTTATGCGTGGTTGCTTGTGTGTGTATGTGTTTGTGTATGTGTGTATGTATGCGTGTGTGTGTGTAGTGTGTCTGTATGCGTGTGTGTGTATGTATGCCTGTGTGTGCGTACGTGCGTGTGTGTGTGCGTGTTTCTTGTGTAAGCTGAAAGTCGCGAAAAAGTATTGAAATATCTATTGCTCCAAGGGTTCAGGGGATCTCGTAGTCGAGCAGTCTCGACTAGAGCTTTCTTACTTGTTGTGATTGAATGCGTGAAATTGAATCGGCTACATAATTAGTTTTTCCTTGAATGTATTTTACTGTGAAATCGAATTCTGACAGGCGAATTTGCCACCTTTCCAAAGCTTTGGAGTTTCAGTTGCGACTTGAAACAATTTTTTGGATTCAGGACAAACAAGTATTGGGTCGCTTGAAATTAGAATTTTTAATTTTTCAAAGGCCTGGATAAAAGCTTCGTTTCTTAAATGAATGTTTTTTTATACCCTGAACCCATTTTCAATGGGAAATCAGGGTATAATGGTTTTGTTGAAATGTATGTAACAGGCAGAAGGAGGCGTGGCAGACCCCACAAAGTATATATATTCTTGATCAGGGCGACGAGCTGAGTTGATTTGGCCCTGTCCGTCTGTCTGTCCGTCTGTCCGTCCGTCCGTCTGTCCGTATGTATGAACGCGTCGATTTCAGAAGATATAAAAGCTAGAGACTTCAAATTTTTTTT